GTACTGAGCTGGGTGAGGAGGCTATAGCCTCTCACTAGTGCCTATTGCATTGGACTCTGTCACTGCCCACCCAGGGGTTTGCCCTCCTTCCTCCCAGACACCCACTGGATCTTGTTTCTCTTAATGGGATGGGAGGGGAAAAACCCAGAGGAGTGGATCCGACTGCAGAGTAAATCAATCAAGCTTTCATCAGCCAAGGCTTTTGGGATAAAGCCTCCTCCTGTACCCACTCCCCGCAGAGTGGGGCTAGAACCAGGGTGAGGTGAGGGAGGCGCTCACCAGCAGGGCAACACAAGGGCCAGGCCTTTGCTCGAAGGCCCCTGGAAGCAAGACCCTCACTCAGGCCTCGGCGTTGGCCACTGGCTAGGACGGAGGAAGAGCAGGGGCCTGGAAGGTCACCATGTTTCTACCAAGAGCTGGGAACGTGAGCTCTACGCACCCCAGAGACCCTGCCCAGGAGCTGAGGGCTCTTTCTCCTTCATTCCCTCCTTCCCTCTGGGACCGAAGTGAGCCATTTTAGGGATCGCAAGGTACCCAGACAAACTCCTTGCAGTTCACAAACCCATACCTGAAGACCTGAGTCTGCTGGTTATTATTTAACGAGATTTAGGACTACCTGGGCATTTAGAGAAGCCACATCTGGGGGCCCGGGTTGAATTTCAAGGCCAGGTGTTCTTTTTGAGAGGCATCGGTCTGTCCCCTAAGGTCCCCTCTCTGACTACTGGAAGTTCTCAGTGCATGGGGTCAGAGATTATTTAGAGGAAGGAGCTGGGACTAAATAACCACAGACATGCCATGGAAAACTTTCCCACTTGGATGTAGACCCCCAAACCCAGAACTTGATCATTAAAAACATTTTGGTTGTTGTCTTTTTAACTGATATGAAAAAGAACCTATTTGTAGGAGCACAGTCTTCGTCAAGTTTATCAGTCTAAATGTAAATTATCATTAGCTTCCGTGCGCTTTCTGCCCTAACTAGGGGGGTGGGAGAGAAAGCAGGATAGGATGGATGGCTACTTATGGATAAAGTGTTTTAACATTCATTAAGTTGCTGATTGTTGCCCTTCTCAGTGGGTTTTCATGCCAGTAGGTTTATTTAGAGGGAAAACAGAGTTTGCTGTCACCAGGGATCTACTGAGGCAGACTGGGGCGGGGGGTGGCTATCTCATAGACAAAGCTGACACTGCTCGTCACACAGCCTTAGCCAACACCTCCCCTCTGCCCTCTGCCCCCCCATGGGAAGGGGACAGGGACATCCCAGGAGCTTACCTCTTCCAGTGGCAGCTCCCTGAGCAGCGGCAGGGAGCTGGTGAGCAGCCCGATTAGGAAGGGGGTTGGCGAGCATACGATGTCGATCATAGCCGGGGGCAGCACGGGGATGTAGGTGTGCTGCCAGGTGAAGGGGTAGATGACCGCCACCATCGCGTGGCAGCACTTGGACAGCGTGCTGCAGCCAGGGAGAGAAGGAGAAAAGGGGCAGAGTCAGGCGGGGTGTGAAAAATGGGGCCTGCCCAGGCTCACGGGGTGCACAGCCTCCACGGAGGAGGCTGGAGAGAAGTGTCTGCGCTCCAGCCCAAAGGCACATTGATCAGAAAAGGTGTCGGGTGCATATTAGGTATGTCATGGAACCCAGTCCTGACACAGGGTATATCAGGCACACGCAGCCTCTGTGAGGTTTTGAGATGTGGGGAGAGGGACAAATTTAATGCCCGAGCTAATTCTTACAAGTGGGCCTTCGCACGTAAGCTACATTCTTATAAAGTTTGGATGAAATCATTCACTTTCTCCCCACTTCCCCACACCCCCTTCGAAACCAAACCATACCAACTAAAGCCTCAAGGATGCTCACTGTCTTGTTGAAGAGGCTTTAGAGTCTAACGCTACCTTTTCCTTTGTTCTCTTCCATACATCCTCCCAATCAAGCATGAGCACCTAGGTGCAATCGGGGACAACAGGATAACTTTCTTGGTATCCACACGGCAGCAGTCAACCCCAAATGGCTGTTTTGTAAAAAGCGAAACTTGTGTACAGTTACCCCTTACCCAGAATTCGAAACTTAAAGAAATACCAACGGTGGAGAAATATTGGGAGTCTCTCTTAAAGAATAATGGTCATAACATAGCCTTTTGTTGGCAAGCACTGAGCCTTGCTAATCACTCCCCACAATGCTTTGCAGGGTGCCTGCATTCACGCTCGGTTTACTGTTTACTGTTTACTCGGTTTACTGGGCTTACAGTTTAGAATGTCAGCCGTACAGTGAGGAAAGGTAGTGATGACGGCCTTCTGAGTGACAGCTGACTTTCTCTCCTTCCTGGTAAGCGTTCAGTATTGGTAGTGAGCCTGCAGGCTTATATAGCAGGCTCACTACCAAAAATATGCTGCTTCTAAAATGCTGCGGGAAGCTTTTTAGAAGTATGTGCAGTATCAGCATAAAACAGGGTCTGGTGAGGGGCTGGTAGGTTCTGCGCCCTGTGAGGGTCCGGTGGCTTCTCCTGTGAGGTACTGCGTCCTCTGCAGGGTGTGGGCCCTGTAACCAGCATTTCACCCGTTAAGACGCCTTTCGAATGTTGCGTTTGTCTCAGCTATGCTCTGCAAAGTTGCAAGGAAGCTGAGTTCTCGACAGATGAAAGCTCCTTTCCTGTCCCCCTGATGTCAGGCACCTATAATCTCATAGTCATAACATTTTCCTGAGCCCATTAAAAAAAAAAATTACTTAGTGCTGGCTTCTTTAAGGAGAAAAAAGGTGGATTAGAAGATACTGGCCAGCAAGTGAAATAGGCCAGACAGAAAAAGACAAATATTGTATGATCCCACTTACCCGAGGACTTAGAATAGGCATTTCCATGGAGACGAAGTAGAATTGGGGTTACTGGGGACTGGGGGAAGGGAGAATGGGGGGCTGCTGCTTAACGGGTACCGAGTTTCAGTCTAACATGATGAAAAGGTTCTAGAAATGGATAGTACCGATGGTTGCGAACACTCTGAATGTACTTAATGCCACTGAATTGCATGCTTAAAAATGATTAAAATGGTCAGTTTTATGTTACATATACATATATTTTACCAAAATAAAAAAAATTCACTTAGCTTCCAAGCGAGTTCCTGTGAATCTAGCACCCCCGGAAACATCTTTAAAACGTACCTTAGTCCTCCCTTCCACCCCATCTACATTTGGGGCCCCCAAACCTAATAAGGGCAATGTTGAATCTTGTTCGTTTGTCAGTGTGAATCTCCTAACCTTCCTGTCCCCTGTCTTTGCAAACGATCATTCTCTTAATAGTCGCTGGCATCAGGAAACACTGCTTAGTAGCACGGCATCCACGTTTCATCGGTATTTAGCCCTTGTCTTTTCTTTCAAATGATAACAGAGGACAAAGATGCTACCCCAAGATTTTGTTCCTATTACTATACTATCTTCTTTGTTAGCTGAGTGAGACTGAGCCAGGAACATTTAGTTAAGCCTTATACTAAGGAGAGCGATATCAATAATTCAGCCACCAGCGCGGGGTGAAGTGAATTCTGTCTTTCAAAGGATCTTCTCCCAAAGCAGAGAAACTTTTTTCCTAAGGGAGCACCTTCCTCCCAGTTACTCAGCAGTGTTAACGCTTCTAGTGAATTGCTTAGAATTTGTGGGTTAACTTCCTTGATCTATATAGATCACTGAATATGTAGCATATACTTTGTTCTAAAGTTTTTGGATTTTAAGACTAAGCTGTGTTTGTGTGTGGCCAGTCTAAGAAGCTGACCTGCTCACGTACTATACTTGCGAGGTCGCGACTCCGAAAACTACAAGGAGGTTAAAATATAAAGGATAGTTGTGACTAAAGCAGGTTTTTTCAGACTAGTTTGCAACTCATTTTAGAGGGTCCTGAAATATTTTTATTGGGTTGTAATTAGTATTAAAAACAACAAGCGAATAGAATAGAAAATAAAAGTTGCACTTTTTCCGTTGTAAATAACGATCTGTGTATAGGTATTGGGTCTGAATGTAAAATGTACTTCTCATTGTGGACTGTGGTAAAAAGGGTTTGAAACCAATGATTTGGACAGGGAACTGAGCGGCGGTGGGGTGCGGGTGGAGAGTGATGGTCGAGTGGGAACTTTGGTATGTTATATGTCTAACCAGTATGTCTAACTGGGATGTTGGCTTTCATTTCCAAGTGACTACAGGGAGTCCCTTAAAACACACCTTAAGAAGGAATTCTCTGAATGGAGCCTTTTGCATGAAACCCATCTCCTTCTATAGCACATGTTATAAGTTCCTAAATATTCCTTGGAGAAGGAAGTGGATCATGTGGCGGTCTGGGCAGTAGACGCTGTCACCCGTGCTGCACATCGCCGGCCTTTGAAACTCCTAATTTAGTCAATGCCCAGAAGAGAATGAAAATACAGCGCCTGTGTTTAAGAGTCTTTTTACGTTTCAGAGTGTGGTTTAAGGACTTTTGACCAGGCAAGGTATAGAATCACAGAATTTCAGACTCGGAAGCAACCTCAGGGCTAGAGTTCGTCTTCTTTTGAATTTTATAGCTCAAGAACCCGAGGCCACCTCTGCATTCAGGGTGGGGGCAGTTCACAGAGCCGAGGCCGGCCTGCAGACTGGAACAGGTAACAGAGATGCAGAGACAGAAAAGGAGCCATGAAGAGGCACAGTGAGAAGCCTCTGTTGAGAAAAACAGTCTGTTTAAGTTTTCTCGCAATGCAGAGAAAAGGCCTCTTGCCCTTCTGCAGTTTCGTGACTTTGTCCCTAGGAGGAAGTAACTGCTCCCTCCCTCCTCCCTGCTGCTATAGCAGGCCTTGTCTCCTACGTGAAGCCCTGTGCTGCCCCACAGGGCCAGGGAGGACCCCCGCCCAAGGCCCCAGTTCAGCTGCAGTGACTGGGAACCAACTGGATGAGGAAGGCAGTTGGAACAAGTTTTTTAAAAAATGATAACGAAGCCAGTGACATAGGGCGGGTGAATACATGTCGCAGAAAGAAAGCTACACCTCATTCAGTTAACTGGAACGCAGTGAGCTAAAGGACAACCGTATTCAATTGTCATGGGGACAAATGATGACAACTCATCATCTGTCGAACCTGGGTAACCTGCTGGCCATGTACGTAGGTGCTGCCACCGTTGACTATTTTTCCTAACAAGCAATTTGTTTGTTTGCTTGTTTCTTAAAGAGTCCGACTCTCGCTGCACTGCCGCAGCTGGGTCGAACGTGTCCATGCCCGGTCGTCATCGGCGCCGGGCGGCTGGCACCTGTGAAACGACGTGACAGGTGGGCACTGTTGAGGAGCGGCTTGTTCCTCTTGCTCTCTAGCCCACATCAATGTTCTTTAAAAAATGCCTCTCGCAACACTAGAAAGAAAGGTCCAATTCTGCAAAAAATCAGTTAGTGGCTGCTTTTCCCCAAACGTCAGCAGTGGAGGAACAAAGGGATTATTTTGAGTGTGGCTGAAGTGTTTTTCACAATCTCTGCTGCAAGCGCTAATTGTATTCACCAACTCACAAAGGCTAGCGGAGCCTCAAGGCGGATGGGCGGTGGGCGCCACTAGGGTCGGGGGTCTCTTAGGAATGAGCAGTCTCTGGTTCTGGGGATACTCAAGATGAGTCTTCAGGTGTGCCCGCCGCACTGCCTGACTGAGCACCTGCGGGAGGTGGTGGGGGAGGAGAGGCGGTGTTGCTGAGGGAAGTGAAGTCCCAGGGAGAGAGCCTGGCAGCTGGCGGCTGGCATTCCATGCATTACATCGGGGCGGAGGAGGGGAACGCCAGCACTGGAGCAGTGATCAGCTTGTAAAGCGGGGGAGGGGGGCGGTGGACATGCCCCAGTGGGAGTTAGGCTGGGACACAGGGCTGAAAGCTGGGCATAGGTGAGAAGGGTCGGGCCCAGAATGCTTTGCTCTTTGGTGGGTGGTGGTTCCTGAGGGCTGAAGCATTCGTGTCGAGACGTCAGGATGCACCCACGAATGCTAACTGGAGAATACATTTCGGTTCTGGTGCGCCTCAGCCCCTGCGCCATGTGTGGGGTTACTATGCTCAGCAGCCTTGCAACTCACCTAGGAACTAATAAGAGTTAAGCATATAGCATCTTCTAAGATGCTACCAGAAGAGTCAACAATGAGTTTCCGGAGTTAGACAGACACCCCGGGAATCTGCAGGATGAGCCCATCGCCACCCTTCGGTATCCCAAGCAGAGCGTCCCTCCTGTCAGTGCATGGCTCCCCGGAACAGGGGCGAAAGGCACTCTTTGCTCTGGTGCTGGCGAGACGTAGTGGGAGGTGGGTGTCACCATGCGCTGGCTGCCACGTTTCCACTACTGTACTTTCAAACCCTGAAGTAATGTGCCATCGAGTTTAAAAAGAACACGGGCTGGGCCTCGAGAAAACTGTGTGATGTCAGGTAAAGAAAGCCCTGAACGTCGCCATGCCTCAGATTTTTCTTCTGTAAAATAAGGAATATGGAC